CAGAAGCAATTTCCGAATGGTTCTCAAAGCACCCTGCAATATCATGTTCTGGCTTAGGAGAGTCTTCGGCTTTCCTCCTATCCAAAAGCCAGGCCCAAGCAAAGCTTTCTTCAGCAAAATCCCAAGATGAGTATGAAGCCTTCCTCATGGAAGCTCTAGCCCAAGTCAATCCCATAGCCTTCTCAAAATTGGGCTCCAACAGAAGTGAAGGCTCAGGTTCTTTCCATGGTTCACAAACAGATCTGGCCCAACCCAATGAAGATGACTGTTTTGGTATTTTCACCCAACAGCTCCAGTGAATATTATTCTCAAAAATCATCATTTCATTCCAAAAAAGCTTCTGACCTCGGTCATTCAATGCCGCTATATAGCGACAAAAAAAAAAAAAAAAAGAGTTAAAAACTACAGTTTAAAATTTTATTCAACAGTTCTCCATTTTCAGGCTTTTAGCACCTTTCGGTGTTCATGACAGACAAGCTTTTCAAAAAAGGAATCTAAGGCAAGTCAGTGGCCATCACCTTAATTCAGCCTTTCAGGCTTTGCACATGGCTTTCAGCATCATTCAGAAGACATCACCTCAAATCAGCCTTTCAGGCTCAGCACATGGCCTCCTGCTGCATCCTTATCTCCAAGGAATCCAAAGCTCCCCAAGGCTCCTTCGAGGCCTTATAAATAACAGCTCCTCTAGACATTGGAGGCAGGCTCATTTTGAAAGTTTAGATTTTAGTTTCCGTTTCAAAAGCTCTCAGTTCAAATTGTAATTTTTAAGTTTAAGTTTTTAGTTTTACTTCATCCAAGGAGCTCAGCTCAGAACAAAAGTGTTGTATTCAAAGATCAAAGTTGTAAGTTCCATATTTTAATCAAAGTTCTTCAAAAGTTATTCATGTTCTGTTGTTAACTTGCATATTCGTATATATATATATATATATACTATATTTCATTGTATTATTTCATTGATTATTTAACCTTTTCAATATCCTGTTTCTCTCCATATTTTAATCAAAGTTCTTCAAAAGTTATTCATGTTCTGTTGTTAACTTGCATATTCGTATATATATATATATATATACTATATTTCATTGTATTATTTCATTGATTATTTAACCTTTTCAATATCCTGTTTCTCTCATTGTATTATATATATATATATATATATATATATATATATATATAAAAAACAAGGCCGTTTCTTTACTTATGAAACTCTTATATATGAGATATACCATCTAATAAGAGTGTGACACTGGCCAAATGGTTTTATGGTTTTGTAAGTTAGCAATTTGTCACGGGCTTAGAGTTTCAGCACTACTCTAGCTACTCTCGTGCGGCACCAAGACGTTGTTTTTACTCTTGCAAGTACTTAGTTAGCCTAACTCTCGTGCACACCTTAGCCAACACACCCCCCTCGTGCGCTTACTAGTGTTGTAGTGGCTCTCGCCTTCTCCTCACTTGGCTTGCACACTCGCACACACTAAGGCACTTAAGTTGGCAAGGAAAGAACACTTCTATTACTTCAATGAATGCTTTGTACAATGCTAGCTCTCAAACTCTCTACAAGGCTCTCAAGACTCACTCTAGGACTTGATGGCTACAAAATGAAGTCCTACTCCTATTTATAGGCATCCCCATCCCTAATGGACGGCTAGGATGCATTCTAATCGATGGTGGAGATCGATTCTCTAGAATCTTCTTCAACCTTCTTCACACTTGCATACATATTTACAAGTATCTACAACATTCTAGAACTCTCCATACTACTCCACACAATTCTGGAGAACTCTAGAACCTTCCACACACTTCTATAATATACTACATATTTCTACACATATCTAGAATCTTCCACACAACTTTAGACTACTCCGGAAGACTCTAGAAACCCCACTCGTCGTGCAGTTGCCATGCAGCGTCCAACTCAGCACCTGCGTGGCGTAACCTCCATAGGCGGGGCGTGACATTCTCCTTAACCCATTTCCGTGATGCCCTCGTCACGGCTTCTTCAGCTGACCCCGCCTCTCACAGGTCATCAGCACTTGCGCATATATCCTTAGCCCAAACGTGCGTACGCCCTTCGGGAGATGTGAGGTCCTCACGAGCTCCATCATGTTGACTGCCACCTCTGGACTCTCCTTCCTGCCCACGAGCGGCACCATGCATGCGACCTTGCTTTCCTCGCCTCCAAGTATCATCAACGCACCAAGGCATGGTAATGGCGCGGCGTTGTTCCTATCCATGAACTCCAGCCCCAGCACCATGTCGTGGTCGTCCATCTCCGCAACCTGGAAGTCGGCCTTGCCCTTCCACTCTTGTATGCATAGCTCCACCTCCTTGCACACTTTGCTCACGCGTGCCTCCTCGGAGTTGACGGCCTTGATCCAGCCTTCTGTCTTCTGCATCTCCAAGCCAAGTCGTTGCGCCTCCTTCGGGGTAATGAAGTTGTGTGTGGCGCCCGTGTCCACCAACACTTGCACGGCTTTGCCACCAACCTGCCCATCCACATAGCGCACCCCTGCTACCTTCTTCGCCTTGCCCTTCTTCTTGGTGTCATGCGCCATGCTACTCAGCATCTGTATAGTCCCCATGTACCTGTCTTCTTCGCTGCCCGCATCGTCCATCTTGCCCTTGCCCTTATCCTTCATAAGGGCGCTTATGGTCTTCTTATTGGGGCAGTGTCGTAATATGTGCGGCCCATCGCATAAGTAGCACTTCGGCTCCCATTTGCCCTTATCGCTTATGGTCTTCTTGTTAGGGCAGTGTCGTAATATGTGAGGCCTATCGCATAAGTAGCACTTCGGCTCCCATTTGCCCTTATCGCGGCGCTCCCCTTTGCCACTAGCCTTGGACTTTTCTCCATGGTCCTTGCCTTTGTCATGGCGTGGGCGTCTCTCCTCATCGCTGTGCTTATCCTCACTGGACTTGGGCGAGCCCCCTTTCTTGAAACGTCGGTCTCCCTCACCTTTGCTGTGGCCCTCTTGGGAGACGTGGCCCTCTTGTCATCGCGCCTAAAGTCTTCAAGGCACTCCGCTATAGCCATTGCGGATGCCCAGTCTTTAGGCTTCCTCTTCCTAAGTTCCATGGCCACCCCAGACTGCAGCCCATCTATGAACAAGCACACGCGTTGCCGCTCCGGCATCTCCAGCATCAAATTGGAGTACTCCTTCACATATTCCCTTATGCTGGCCTTCTGCTTTAGGCGCCTTAGGTTGATTATGGCGAGGTACTCGACGCACTCGGGGTAGAACTGCCTCTTGAACTCCTCCCATGTATTAACCGCTCTTGCGCCCCTACCGGTGAAGCGTTGCCTCCACCATCGAGCGGCAGTGTCCGTGAGGTACATTGTGCCTGTTAGCATCTTCTCCTCATCATCCTCGATCTCTATACATTCGAAGTATCTCTCCATGTGCCAAAAGAAGTTGTCAATCTAGCGCGCATTCCTTGCCCCATCATACTCCTTGGGCTTTGGCGCCTTCTTCTTCCTTGGCTTCACCACGACCTCACGCGCCTGGGAGAACTCCTCCTTGCACTCGGCAATCTCCACAAGCAAGTCGTCTACCCGATCATGCAAGTCTCTTTTCTTCTCTCGTGCCTTGTTAGCGATGCCATCAATCAGCTCGTAGAGCTCCGCCATCTTTCTCTCGAGCCTGTTGAACTTGGTCTCCGTGTAGACCAAGTGTGTGGCGAGGTTCTCTTCCAAGCTCTGCTCCAAGATATGGACATGGTGTTCTCCTCTGCTAGCCATGTCTACTCTAACAAAGCTTCCTTCACGAACCTGGCTCTGATACCAACTGTCACGGGCTTAGAGTTTCAGCACCACTCTAGCTACTCCCGTGCGGCACCAAGATGTTGCTTCTACTCTCGCAAGTACTTGGTCAGCCTAACTCCCGTGCACACCTTAGCCAACACACTCCCCTCGTGCGCTTACTAGTGTTGTAATGGCCCTCGTCCTCTCCTCACTTGGCTTGCACACTCGCACACACTAAGGCACTTAAGTTGGCAAGGAAAGAACACTTCTATTACTTCAAAGAATGTTTTGTACAAGGCTAGCTCTCAAACTCTCTACAAGGCTCTTAAGACTCACTCTAGGACTTGATGGCTACAAAATGAAGTCCTATTCCTATTTATAGGCATCCCCATCCCTAATGGACGGCTAGGATGCAATCTAACCGATGGTGGAGATCGATTATCTAGAATCTTCTTCCACCTTCTTCACACTTGCATACATATCTACAAGCATTTACAATATTCTATAACTCTTCATACTACTCCACACAATTCTTGAGAACTCTAGAACCTTCCACACATTTCTACAATATACTACATATTTATACACATATCTAGAATCTTCCACACAACTTTAGACTACTCCGGAAGACTCTAGAAACTCCACTGGCCGTGCAGTTGCCATGCAGCGTCCAACTCAGCGCCTGCGTGGTGTAACCTCCATAGGCGGGGCGTGACAAATTGCTCTTAGTACTCAAACTCAGAAGTGAATACAATATATAGAATTGTAAATAACATAAGCTAATTGCCATTCCTCAAAATCCTTTTCAGAATATGTATGTACTATTGGTTTCTCAATTTCTCTTAAGCTTCTTCCCAGGGTGTCAAATAAAGCTTAAAATCTTATCCATTGTTGCAAAATTTACAGAATCATTCAATCTCTATTATAGCTACGTGGGATGTAAATCTGTTCATTCTAAATGTTGTGATTGGATGTGCAAGTCAAGCAAAACATTAACTGATGGGCTGATGCTTGAATTTGGGCAGTTTCTATGTTTTCCTCTTTAATCTTCCTCGTAATGTTAGAAATTGTATGGTTGTCAGTTGGTACTATATAATCATGAATATGATTTTGGCCTGAGAGTTGACATTGGAACCTATGCAAAATTGAACATTTAGGTGGCGTTGATGTAAATTTTTTGAGTGGGCTGTCACGCCGTTGCAATTTCATATGTTATATATTCTTTTATTTGTCACCTTTACACGTTTCATGATTCCATCAGATAATCTATAAATCGGCTATGGCCATGGTTGGCTTGGACGCTTCTGATTGTATTGCTGTGGGAGACTCTCTCCATCATGACATAAAGGGTGCAAATGCAGCTGGGATCCGATCATCATTTATCACATGTGGGATCCATGCAACTGAACTTGGTCTTGATAAATTTGGAGAAGTTGCAGATCAATCTTCTGTGCATGCTCTTGCATTAAAATATGATGCTTATCCATCATATGTCTTACCTTCATTTACATGGTAATATCTATATGGTAAGCATTCTATTATCCTGTTTAAATATTACAATCTTATGAAAACAACTTCTCGGACATTTGATTTCCAGTGTTACTTTTAAAGAAAGCTTCTAAATTATACCTTCTGAAGGTAATGGGATCATAATTAGGGTACTAATATCAAGCAACTTCCATGGTGGTTTCTATACTGTTGCTTCTAGAAAAATAAAAAAAAATGGCCAAGTCATTGGTTGAAATGTGCAGTTCCTTATTGACATCACACAGTTTCTTCACTTTTACCATTTTTTCCAGTATGAACATCTCTGAAATACATGTAATTATCATGGAAAACAGGTTTTATTTTTTATTTTTATTTTTATTTTTCCTTGAACATGTTTCCAAAACATCCTAAAGTGGTTAAAAAATACTTCTAGCAAATTGGTTTAGGGAAATGATAAATGCACTCCACATTCCCCCCTTCCCCCCCCCTCCTCCTAAACTAAATGACGTAAATGTCTCTTATACTTGATTGTCATTAATTGAATAAGGTCAATAATGTCATTTCACATTAAAAGTGGAGTGATTTTATCACATTCCAGTGATTTATTGAATTGTTTTGGCCAGGAAGGACTATTGATTTTGAACAGTACACAAAACCATCAATGTGGTGATTGATACTGCAAGGCTGTGCGCATATCTTGCTGAATGCGTTTTTCGTGTCTTTTTCCTTTCTTTTTTGATAGACAAGAAAGAAACACACGCCCAACACATACATCCGCTATTACCCCACGGGGACTCGAAGGAATGGCCATTCCAACCATTGTGAAGTTTGCACTGAGAAGAAGAGAGAAGAAAAACAGTCGTATATTATTCACTTGTTATTGAAGAGTATAATAGAATACATAATAAGCCCTAAACTAATAAACTGAGGAAAGGATAATACTACCCTCAATAATACAATAAATCCTACTCTAACAAGCTTATAGTTCTTTCCTTGATTTGTTGAAATCTGAAGGCAGAATGAATTTAGTGCCTCCACATAATCACAGCAATTTCATAATGCATGCTTGATTTCGCGTGATAAATAATTCTAAAAGAGAATTCAGTCTTTCTGAATGCATTTACCAAAAAATTGAAAAAACATGTCCAAATCGAAAATAAAATTGGATCAAAATTTGCTTCTAGCTGTAAATTTTTTGCTTGAAATTCCATTTGGGATGTGATCATGTGAGACTCCTATAGTTGTAGTGTGTAACATTGTTAGCATGTTGATGAAGCTTTTGGTATCATGTTTTGTTTGCCTCCTCTTCAGAAACTCCATTACATCTCTATACCTATACTGTGTTCATAATTATTGTCCTCTGCCTGTTGTTTTTTAGCCATTATGTCCACCTGTGTGCATTGATATTTTGAGGTTCATGTGTCACTATTTTCTGAATAACTGTCTCAAATTGTCAATTTCCAGTTTATGATCTAGGGATTCAGAACTACCATTATGGTGTGAGGACCTGTTTTCTTTTTCCTTTTTCCCTTATATTTCTCCATGTGCATTTATGTGTTTTGACATGTGGGGAATGCGTTTTGGGGTGTTCGGGATTTTTTCTAGCCTTTCCTAGAGTTCACGGACTCTTAGAAACTGGGCCCAGGGGCCAGGATGTTGGCTGTGTGGACCCGGGGCGATTCAAGTGTTCGGAAATTATTTTCGACACTATTCATGTATTTGGGGACACGTAGTATTTCTTGGGAGACATTTATATATGTATATGTATATATAATGTTCTCCATATCATACTTGTAATTAGAGGTGAAGGTGGGGACATGTTTGACTTTGTGGCACATAGTTGGTGGACTATAAAAGGTGGGAGAGAGAGAGAGGAGACCATTTTGGCTGGCTCACCCTCTCCTCCCATTTTCTTCTCTTTTTCCATTTTGATCTCCTTCCACTTAGAATCTGAAGACTCCATAGAAAAATAAAGTGAAGGGCCCAAAGAGAGGATCGTTTCTACGGTTTCTATTTTCCATTTGGTGCATTTCATACATGGTGGATTTTCTAGCTTTGCTCTCCTTTGAGGTAGGGGGTGTGATATACCCTTAATCTATTTTTCCTTGTGTTTTTGTGAGCATAGGAGTGTGTTAAGCATGCTAGTGTGAGTATATATGTGATAAGCTAGGTGTATTATAGTGTATATGTGGTGATATATTGTGTTCTATGCCTCTAAATTGAGTATTCCATGCTTTAAGAGTGGAATTGAGCTTATGACATGAATTTACGTATTAAGCATGATGTATATGCATGTCTATTTATTTCATTCTTCATGTGAAGCTCTGTTTATATATGATTATTGGTCATTGTGGAAATTGTTGAGATTATTGTTGATTTTAAATCATAGGGAGCATGTGTAGACATTGCTAGTTGATTTAATGCACACTATATGTTTGATGAATTGCCTAAATGACGATATTGAACCTTATTAAATTATAATGATGTTGATTTGGATACTATTGCATTTGAGTAGCATGTCATGATAGTAGCTTAACACTAGGGCATGATTTACTTGGGATAATGTTCACTTATGTGCGCTTATGAAGTGCTTAAAGTGTTACCTTATGAATTACTTGTGGTTTTTGGGAAATACTCGGGTTTTTTTAAAGAGAGAGGACAAGGCCCTTGGGGCTGAAAATCCCCGCAATTGGCCAATTGGTACGCCACCGGCGGGTTAGTAGCCCAGAAATGGCACTTACGGCACGTGGCTTAGGCAGTGTTCGGGTGTGTGTGTGAGTTACAAGGTATCGCGGTTGATGATTTCAAACTTTTCTTGTCAAGTTGGTTATTTTGTCATATAATTGCAACTTGTGGTGGATAAGGCTTTCATCATTTTATATATGCTTATATGTGATGAAATGAGCATCATTCTTGTTGAAACTTTGATATTGTGTAAATGCTTATTTCTAGGGATGATTCGTGAATTAGACATTAGGGAGCATAACCCTTTTTGCATTGCCTAGCATTCTCTTATGTTTGTAGAACTCAAAGAATGTAACTTAGTTGTATAGCATATTCTTCATACTGGACATTCGTTCTCACCCTTTCATTTTTCAGGAGGAGTTGCTTTGGAGGATACTCCTCATCCACAGCCTTGGTGTTGCTTAATGGAGTTTTTGGATGACCATTGATGTTACTTGGAATACTATGTTGTAGCTTCATTTTGATTCGACTCATATGTATGGACAATGTCCCTCTATGACATTTGTATGTATTTTTGAAATAGGGAAATGGCATAGGAACACATTGCCATCTTTTGGAGTTCTTTTGTGATTTCCACTCGCTTTATTTTTCCTAAGACTTGTATAATGATGTAATGAGACCAAGTTGGTCATCTCTTGATGCAGGCATGTTTAATTTATGCATTTCCTTTGTTTCATTGCTTAGCTCTCATTCACATGTTGGTTCTACTCATTCCCATCATTTGTGTAATTCTGGACATCCTTGTGACAGTATCATTTGACCTAGGTGGAGTCCATGGCCATAGTACCTTGAAAGGGACCTATTTTTACATTTCTGGGAACTTTCAGTCGACTCATTAAGCCTAACAGCCGACTGGTACCCCAATTTTTCTTGGACAGTAAGTGGGCTGTGCTTAAACCACGTTTAAGCTGGCTGGTCTGGTTGTCAGTCTTTCTACGCGTAAGCCGGGACTAGTCAGGGAGCGCTTCCAGGCAATGTTTTCAAATTGAGTTACAATCTTCACCATATGAATTTTTTTATTTTTTATTTTTTATTTTATTGTATTTTTTATTTTTTTTGAGACTGTTATGGTATTATAGGCTTATCATTCATGGTCACATTAGCCATATGGGCTAATGTGGGGTTTAGCTTCCCATTTGGGACTTGGATTTGAGTCCGATTTACCTTTCATTTCTCATGCACTGGGTCCCTAGGATTCGGGGGTGACATATGTTTTATTTTATGTACGTGGTTAGGTTGCAAGTGTGCAAGTGAAGGCTTGAGCCCGAGGACAGGCATTTAAATAATGTCACTTTCAATCATTACTTATGTTAACTCTCATGCTTGAATCCATTTCAAGGCTAACCTTGCAGATATGGCTTCAGCCACCAGTGTGTAAACTACCCCGGGAAAGAAATAAATGACAGCTCACAAAATTTTGTATTCAGGTCATCCTATTAGCTGGGATCAATACTGGATAGCAGCCTTCTTTTTACATATGCATGCATACTTTCATGTAAGTGACGCTGAAGCCAACAAAGTGGGCTCTTTTAGTAGTTCCTCAACCAGTATAAAGTATCCTGAATTTTCTGTAGTATCCTAAATTTATGCCACTCTTAATTTCTAATTTTTCGATCAATGTGTCACTCGTTTAATTCATTTCTTTTTAAATTATTGGTTTCAGTGGAAGATGCACTAGCAGATCCCTACTTAACATCACTCCACGACATTAGTGATGAGCCTATATGCATGACTCCATTCACTTTTGACTTTGAGCAGCATGCATTATTTGAGGAACAGATGGAGGAGTTGATTTACAGAGGCTCTTGCATTTAACCCTGATCATCAACATATGTTTTTTATTTGTTGTGGCCTTAATCAGTGTGGTTTCCATGGTTTATACGATTGATGATTCATTTCTTAATGTATATATGTTCCATGCATCCAAAACCTGGATGGCTCTGAAATTGAAAACATTTGATAGATTATGGGCATAGGGGCACTGAAACAACTGAAAAGGTAATTTGTATTTGTATGGGGTGATTTTCCTTTTATGGTTCTATTTGTACGAGGCTTTCTCAGCACCAGTACTCATCTTTCATCTTTTGAACTGGGCTAAAATTACTAGATCCGCCAGTGAGACCAATGAAGATGCACATTCCGCCAGTGAGACCATTGAAGATGCACATGTCCCTAAGCAATGATGTCAAGATTTTGAGGAGATGGATTTATGGAAGGAATTTCACTAAATTACATGGGTCCATTGATATATACTTGAACTCAGGATTTCGAGAAGCAAACACATTTCTTTTGTTCTGTTAAATGAAGGCATTGTAGTTTTCCACATTGACAACCAAGTTGTGCTTTCAAAATGTTACTACGTAAACACAAGTAGCCATTTGATTTGTAAAAATTGAAACGACTGTAGGTGCAAAATTTCGCTCAACCAATAATGATTGAGAAAAATAAAACAACTCACTCAAAAAACAATAAGAATAAATAAGAACAGTGTATAGAGAAGCGTAGAATTGCTTGATCCTTTTATTGGAGGTCTTGGCCTCTATTTATACACAAACGATTGGTTGAATTATGGTAGGACTCGCATTGCTTGTCCTCCAATTCTTTCCCTACATAAATTCTTTACAAATAGAGCCCCTTCCTTTGTATAATTTTCCTTGTGTAGTAGTTTCTTTCTTTGCTGTATTCTTCTTCTAATAGGACTAATTTCCTTTCATTGGATTTGGGCCATAAATAACTTGATCCATGTGACATTGCTAACGGGCTGGATCTCTTGTTTCGGGTTTGAACAATGCTACAGAGATCAATTAGCTATGACCTTGGGCTAGTGTTTTATGATTTTGGGCTGTCAACGAGCTTGGACTGGGCTTTGAGCAGGATGGGCCTCTGACATTTGTGATGGGTATTTATATTAGGATGACATGTACAGTTCTCACTGAAGGGAGATTTTTCCCTCTACACTTTGCCCCCAATTCCCTCTTTAACTGGATTGCTGCTCCTATTAAAAAGGGAATTGAAGTTGCACGGTTGTCTATTTTGCAAAAGGACAGTTCGAAGATTGCCCGTTGCCATTCTACCTTAAGAGATTCCATAAGGGTTACTTTTGCTCTCACTGCGTTTCTTGCGTTCTTCATTCCGTCGTCTTCTCAGGTTAGTTCTTCATCTTTTTCTCTTCGATCTTGCATCATGAGTACTTCGACTACTCCTGAACACATAAAAATCGTAGATTTTGAGTCCACACCTTTGTCGTCCCCTACACTTATTAGGTTTCCTCCTCCTAGGGTTCCTAATCTTACTGGTTCTGCAAAGAATTTGACCAATCAATCAAACATCCCTCTACCTCAAACCGAAACATCCATTTTTGGGTCTGATTATATCTTCACTAAAGAAGAGAGAGATGTAATTTTGTCTGTTCGGCGGATTGAATTCTCCATTGAAGCTACAATGGAAGATTTTGAGATTCCCGAGGGGGTTGAGATTGTAGAATACCCTGAGGGTGCCGATTTTTGTGCTGGTGAGGGTGTTGGAGATGACGAGTTGCTTCTTTCAGTTGGGCATCTTAATGCTCTTCGGTTCCCCCTTCACCCTTTCTATTGCTTAGTTTTCAATAAGTTAGGTATTTCACCCCTTCAAGTGAACCCCAACTTCTTCCGAATAATCTCGGCACTCATAGTTCGCCGAAGGCTGGAGAGTCTTGATCTGACTCTTGCTAACTTGCTGATTACTTATACTATTTCTAAGCATGGGATCGAACCTAGTCGCTTTTTTTTTTACCTCTCCCTTGCACTAGAGGATATGCACAAATCTCCCTTCCTCTAAAAAGAAGTGGAAAGAGAGAATGATAATCATTAGAGGGAAATGGGCTGTGGCTCAATCGAGCAAGCTCCCAATCCCACGCAAATTTGGAAAATTAGGTATAGAATATGCCCCCTCTTTACATAAAAATTCTTCTGGTTGTTTCCCATGTCAAGTTTTACTCTTTCGGTATACTTATGAATTTCTTGGTCTTGTTTTAGTGACATTCCTTTCCTCTATTGCTAAGAAGAGACTTTCCTTTCTTGAAAAGAAAGTCTGGTGCGAGCCCCCTTCTATTAAGGATTTGCTTACCTCGGCAAACCTTAAGGAAATCACATCCAGAGTTGAAGCTGCAGACCTCATGGATTTGTCTCTTCCGACCTTCGATAGCTTCCCAATGACTGAGGAAGAAAAACAGAGGGCTGAGGCCCTAAAGAAGAAAGCTGCTGAAGACCGGCCCTTAGCAGTTATCAGGTCGAATGAGCATGAGACAGAGGTCGATGAGCCTCCTCTGAAGAAGACTAGGCCCAATCCATCTTCCTCTGGCAGGAGTAAGACTCCTTCTAAGAGTAAGGGGAAAAAAGCTGAAGAGACTGAGCCAGAGGATGAAGTCAGAGCATATGTTCTGGCTAAAATTGGGACTCCTTGGGCACCTTCCTTTTCTTAGGGCTGATAAATCGGTCCTGCACTCTGGTGATTCTATGATCACCGATCCATCAGCTGCATTGATGGTTGCCCGGGGAATGTGGTTCCCCAAAGACTAGAAGATTATCGGCAAAATGGGACTGGAACAGTTACTTCCATCTGCCCCCGTTCGCGCCATAGAGGTCTGTTCCTTCTTCCTTCCTTGCTCTTTTAGTTCTTGCTTCCACTATACTTACATTGTTATCTCTGTTGTTTGATGATGTAGGCTCTGTATCATACTATGGCCCTGTGTGCCACTGCTGAGGTGCAATATCTCTCAATCAAGAGAAGCTAGAGAAAGACCTTGGCAATAATGAGAAGAAAGCCTCGAACGCATCCCTGAATGCGAAGATTGCTTCTAAAACAAGGGATGCCTACAAAAAGCGCTTGGCTGAGTCTGCAACTAAGGTGGAGACGTTGGAGGCTGAAGTCCAGCGCTTGACCGAGTCAATTTAAACTTGTGTCACTGCTGGGAGACAGATGCAAGGCTGTTACTCCACTTTGGTGCGCTTGTCTAGTGCAAAAGCTTACCAGTCTGACTTCAATCAAGGCTCAGGCCCCAAAACGATGGATCCTGATACCTTTGATGCAAACATAGGGGTGTCCATCCCTTACGATGAGGGTCCGAAGGCTCAGGAGGCTGAGGTGCTTTTTGCTGAAATGGTGAAGGCTCACCTAGAAGATCCTTCAAGCTCATCAACTCCTGTAACTCCTGGTCCTTCAATTCCTCCAACCTCAAGCTCTACTGTAGTGGATGCTTTTGATTCTGCTCCCTTCGATCTGAAGAGGAAGTAGAATCATGTAATTTATTTTTATTAACAATATTTTTGGAATAATGTAACTTTTTTCAGGCCCTGATGCCTTAATTTTGCGTTAACTGAGTGTTCATGAATGCCCTTAATATTGCACACACTTTGCAGGATGTTAATGCTTGAAGTATATTATCTTGTCTGAGAGCTCCTCATTTAATCTAAAGCAAAAGTAGACAGGATAGGAGGAAGGGATCTTCTTTGACAGTTTACCTGATATCTGAGGATTGCTTCTTCCTCTAGTGTTTTAATTGTCAAGGGAACCTTTCTTACCATAGAGTTATATGGAGTATATATGTATATACTTGTTATTTCCTGTGTGTTTTCGCTATAAGACCAATGTATAACGGGCCTTACACTAGCGTGAGGGCTTGTGA